TGCCGCCCAGCTTCCTGATTGGCCGGGAAGCCAGCTTCATGCTCCCTGGTGACAAGGTAGCATGGAGCTGGCTTCCTGGCCAATCAGGAAGCCGGGCGGCATGTAATGATTTGCCGAACGGCTTCCTGATACCGCAAGTTCTGGTATCGAGATAATCATCGGGAGCATTTGGGCGAGTATGAGTACTAGTATTGGTATCAGTGCATCCCTATTTTAGTAACATATGTATCCTCCCCATCCCTCACCCTGTAACTGGACAGTAAGATTAGAAGCGGCAGACTGATGAGCTTGATGAGCTCATCTCTCTGCCACTTTGCTATCTCCTTCTATCAGCATGTTCTCACACTACAGCACAAATGATTGATTCCATGTGCTGCTTTACCCCACTCTACCTAAACTCTGCTGTACAATGCACTGCAAGAGGCTAATGCCAGGTCAAAGTCTGGTACTTACACTACTTGCAATTAAAAATTACACTTAATGCTGTGCAGTATTAATGAAAGTGATCTGTATCAATGTGTTTCTTTTATATCTGCCTGGAGTTCAACTTTAAACTAAAATTCTAAATTGTGTGTAATTTTAAAAGGTTTGAGAAATTAAATTTATGTGTTATTGGCAAAAAGTATTTGGTTGGAATGCACCATGTAAAACTCGAATGGATTGCCACTTTAGTAGACTTTCTGACTGCACAATTGCAATGCTACCTAGACATCAATGGTCATTTGCTGATTTTATTTGTTACCTAAAGTTGTTTTAGATATCTAAAAATGAATTCTTACATATTCAAACGTGAACAATTTTAATCAGATCTGAAGTATGACCAAGAAACATGCAATTCAACGAGCATTAGTTCAGCATTGACTGTGCTGTTCAACCCTTGAGGCCAGGGCCATATTTAGAAATCATGTTGCCCTAGGCACACATGAATGATAACCTTTTGTGCAACTTTATGCAATTATTTGTAGTGAAGATGAATGCAAAGATATGCTATTAGTGTGTGCATGTTTTATATTCACAGCTAGCTCACAGGTAGTTTCTAAATACAAAGACCAACCAAAAAAAAAAGAAAAGAAAATATTGTAATTTTTACTGACCAATATTGAGTCTTCTGTAACCCTATTTCGGGATGGGGTAGTGTGGTTGTCACATGAGATGACCCTCACCTTGCAGCAATTATACCTGACTCTGTGGCAGCACTGGGGCAGACAGTAAATCCCAGGCCTTCACTAAGGGGGTTATTCACTAAAGAGCCGGAGGATCCAGCCATAGCTTCGGCTGATCCTTCAGCTCTCTTCAGCCGCCTCTGCCCTTCGGTTCAGTCGAACCAAAGGGCTGCTGTACGGGCTATTCACAATAGCCTGTACAGCAGCCGAGCAGCTCAGCCAAGCCGAAGGCATATGCTTCTGATTGACTGAGCCAAAGTGACAGCCGAAGCAGGGGAGAAAGGCCTGCCGAAGGGCCGGCCGTTCTCCCATGAATGACAGCTGGGCGGAGCCAGTTGTGATCTCACTGGTGGCTCCGCCCAGTTGTAATGACAAACCAGCATCCCCTGGGGATGTTGATCTGTCATTAAACAATAACAACAATTTTCTATTCTGCCAAGCCGAATGCCACTATTTAGTCACTGCCGTTTGGCCCCTATGAGAATAGGGGGCGAACGGCAGCGAGTGAGCTGCCGGAGCTTCGGCTCAGCCGATCCATATGTTGGATCGGGTGAGTCGAAGTCCTTCTGCATTTCGGCTCAGCCGTATAAGCCGGAAGTAAATAGCCGAAGCGTTCGGCTCACTTCGCTTTGGCTGGGTTATTCACTCGACTGCCTTCGGCAGCTTTGTGAATAACCCTGTAAGTAACGTGTAAGTCAGTGACTGAGTTCATAAATCTTAAATGCTTCCACCAAGATAAGGCTTATGAAAATATGGGGTGGAGGGGGGGCTCCTTTCTAGGGTTATCATGTCCCAAGGGTACATCACTTTTACACTTTCTGTAGCCAAAGAAGTGCAAGCACAGACTTGAGTGCAGTTTACCTGTTTATCAAGAACTTGATACGAGGAAGCACAAGAGAAGGTGAAATGCCGAAAAACTGGATGGGATACATAACTGGATATTTAAAAAAACTTGCTGTTCTTGATCTTATTGACAAGGGTTTACACTTTGCAGAATTTCTAGTGTCACTGATTCTGTCTACCTGATGATATTTTCCTTTTGTAGAAATGAAAATCAGCTGCAAATTAGGTCGATCTGCTTCCACGTCAGGTGTGCCTCCTCCTTCAGTAACTCCCCTCAGGCAAGCCAACGAACAACTACAGAGCCAGGTACCACCGTTACCCAGTAGTGAATGACGTCATCTGATTCTACATGCCAAATACTTTCCACTTCTCTGTCTGTCATCTGTTGCCGTCTGCTCTGTGTCTGTCCTCGTACAGTCCACTCTGTGTCTGCCATTAGTCAACAAAGTCATCCACCGCTCTGTCCACGGAGGAGCTTTGTCTTTCTGTTTCTTCAATTCCTGTGTTGATCCAGACTTAACTCATTCTGTAATTTGATTGTAACATTTTACTATTTGTACTTTCTTAATTATTTTATTTTTTTACATGGTGTGCACATTTTTACTGTCAAGAAAAAAAAAAATTTATCATGTTTTGATAAATTTCACAACCTTGTGTTTTCTGTGTAGAGATGAATGTCTTGCCTACTGTGGTAAATACATTGTTAATTTGTACATACCTTTTCAAAATCTCCCCGATATATTGTAATATGTGTGACTGTTTTTTGCATTTACTTGGTTCTTGGTGCATGTTTGTAATACACACTAAAGTTCGAAATCTATACAGAATACTTGCACAGCCATCATTCCCATCCATAAATATGGCAGCTACTCAAATGTAAGCCTTGTGACATAAAAGAATTTTAAAAAATCAAAAATATAGACTGTTTATGATGTACACTGTCCAATATCATTAACCCCAACATGTGCCAGAGTGTCCTGTCATTCGGCAGATACCCCCGCCAGTTTGGGGGTTAATCTGAGCCTATTCTTTTGCCAAAAAAAATGATAATGGTGACTTGTAAGTGTTTGTGCATGAAAATTCCTACCTATATTATCATCTTTAAAATATGAATAAAAGCAGTATCGAAATACTTTATCTCAGTTGTGTTGTGCTGATATATTTTTCCAAACTGTGCATTGGGTGTCTTTTCCTTGGATTGCAAATCTGAAGAAATAATAATGTGAAACTATTAGATGATTTATTTTCAATTCTAAGGATGTTATTACTAAAGCACCTGGAACAGAAGATGTAGTGTAGGCAAAAATAGAAAGGGCCTAATACACTTGCCAAAACCTGATACCATGGATTCTCCTTTCCAGCTATGAGGGTCTTCAACTGTAGAGATATTCTAGGCACACAGCAGTCTATGAGTTGTAAGCTGCTCATAGTTCTGTTTTTCTATTCCTGGGTCCTGGTACGTGGAATGCTTTTTCAGGGTTTGCAGGCTTTAGGTTAGGAAGAGAGGGACTATGGCCCGTGGATCATGCTGCTTAGCCTAATTCTAAGCTGTCATAAATGTGTTTCTTCCCAGTATGCTTACTGCATAAACAAAGTTAGAATACTTTGAGGGAAGGATTATAGTTAATAGGTTAAAACATGTTATAGTTGAATACATATGAGGACTACATCACACTGACTTTAAAGTCTAACTTCAGTCAAATCATTTTATTTTTTCCTATAGCGTGGGTAAGAGTAAGACATTCTGTCACGTTTTTATTGCTTTCCATGTCCTCAGTGGGAAGAGATAGCCCATGGTCCCATCGCACTCCTGACCGCGTGAATCCCTTCAAGAATTGGGTGCTGCGGTAGTCAACGGGTGGCAGCCGTAACAATCGTGAGCTAAAGCAGAAACACCGGCACTCCAAATTTGCAAAATACGTATATTTATTGACGTGCATCGTGGTAAAAACAACGAACGTTTCGGGGTCACAAAGGATCCCCTTCATCAGGCAAAACATACAGTGTAAGTGCACATAAACACAGCTGATATATAGCCCCAACCCTAATCAGAATTGGCCATTAGGGTTGGGGCTATATATCAGCTGTGTTTATGTGCACTTACACTGTATGTTTTGCCTGATGAAGGGGATCCTTTGTGACCCCGAAACGTTCGTTGTTTTTTACCACGATGCACGTCAATAAATAGACGTATTTTGCAAATTTGGAGTGTCGGTGTCTCTGCTTTAGCTCAGTGGGGAGAGTTCACTTCACTTTCTTTCTTGGTTAGGTCAGGACAAGAAATGAACGTGTAGGTATGACCAGATAAGAAAGACACAGAAATTAAAAAGACTGACACAGATTCTATGTTTTCCCTAGTCTTCCTAATAAATGTGCTTTTGTTGCAGTCTCTGTCCTTATTAGATATGTATCCCATCACTTCCTGGCCTTCTCTTACTGGCACAAATAGTGAGGGTAAATATCCCCCACCCAAAGGACACAAACAGAAATAGAATCCTGTACAAAACTTAAAAAAACAAAATGTTTGGCTGGAGTTGGCTTTAAGGTGTTCTGTGCTCTTTAAGATTTCCGGTACAGTGTGACAGAAGTGCGTAAATCACAAGACTGGTTAAACAAACGTATAAGGTAAACAGTCACAAATGTGCATTACCACTGTATATTTAGAACGTGAAGTTCTGCCTTAAATCCACACTTTATTCCTAAAATATATCTGATAGAGCATTTAACTGCTTCTCTGAATCTGTAATACTCACTCTGTGACACGTGGCTTTGTTCTACTTTGCACCAAGGATCACTGCCAAATGATGATGATGTGCAACATCGCACATAGTGTGGCACAGCACAAAAGAAACATCTTATTAAGCTACTGTGCTTTGTGACCAATTGCCTTAACATTGCACTGGGTAGAAAACCAGGTGTTGTGAAGTACTTAATATGCTTTAAGAGTGTGCACCAATCTTGTCTCTGCTTCATCTGTGTGAAGTCTTACACTGGAAGGATATGGAGGATGAAAAATGTTGTACTTAACAGTATAACAACCCCACAGTGCATGGGGTAGAAATAATAATAAGAACTGAGAACTTCAAGAGACCAGATTTTACATACAACGGAATTTAGTGTAATAAAAAATGTTAACCAATTTCCCATTCTTCTCCACTGACTGAACTAAGATAGTCTGTTTGTACTTCTTACTGGCTTTTGGATCCTAGACAAGCACTGAATGGTGTATAATGTGGGATAAGACATTTTTCCCAGGTGATTGATTGTTTGGAATGTCCCTATTCATGTTTAGGTGTACAGTCCCTACATAAAAATCCACTGGATATTTTCTCCAATTAAAGTTTATCACAAGTAATGTTTTTCTAACTTTGTGCCTGTAACAACAATGTACATTTTCTTGCTCTTCTGATTACATCCCCTAGACTTTTTATTTTTACTTGTTCTTTGTTTTCCATCTTCTGTCCCTTCCAGACAATTGTAACTAAAGCCAACAAGTGTAAAAAAGGGATCATGTGAAGCAGATGACCTCTCTTAGGTCATGCAGCCTCATCCAAGTGATCATACTGTATACTGCACCATAGTCACCACTATATGAGAGGTGCATGTAGGTCATATTTGTATACTCAACTGCAAAGAAACTACAAGGCCCAAACCCCAGCTTGGGTTGTGTCATGGCATGAACTACAGTTACTGAAAAGAGGAGTAAATGATCAAATGACTTTTAAATTGCACTGTGTGCATCTACAAATATGCAGGATTATTGTCTGTGTTAGAATTTCAAGATGGATTTGTGCACAATCAACCTTATACACATCTAAGGCCACTTGACCAAAAAAAGCAGCCCTTAGTTTTAAGTGTGTCATGAGTACCATCTAGTGGTAAAATATTGAAATGTATTATTTAATACAAAACAGACTCAAATTGCAAACAGTTTTTGTCCTAGTGACTTTTAGGGTCAACGTAAACCAAAACTGATATATTTTTTTACTGTAAAAAAGTGGAATGAAGTGTGCACCAATTCCTTTAACAACTTGGCCAACGGAACCCCTGACATTATGGTTTTGGCTATCAGGGGAACAGATGCAGGGGGTAACATTTCCACCCCATCTTCTGTTTATTTAGTACCCCACAATAAAATACAAAGTGTTGATAGTCTACTTGTGTAAACATAGGTTTGATCATGTGATCTGCGAGGAAGAATCAATGCACTCTGCTCTGTCCCTGTAAATTATTTGTGCAACTGGTGTGGGTGATCTTCAGGCAGCATATTCCCCATCTCTGTTGCAGCCCCATGCTTACCTGAATGTTTTATTTTATTCCCGGTCCAGACTTACCTGACTCTCATGCAGGACCCTCTTCTGTGTCTCTGCGGCCAGGTGGCGGGGCTAAGAGGAGAGGATCCTCACACAGAAGAATGTGCTGCCTGGCGGTGCCTGCAGTACATTCTACTGGACTAGTGACAGCCTCTCCAGCCCCGCAGCACAGCCGCCTGTACATGCTGTGCGTGGCAGGGCGGCGGAGAAGAAGCGACACTATCTCGGGGGGGGGGCATCTTCCTCCTCTCTGCCCCCCCTAACAGGCGGGACGCCAAGGCCCAGTCGCAATTGAGACTGCTGCGACCCGGTAGATCCGCCAGTGCTGGAATTTGTAGTCCTGTATAGCTGGTGGTATTCTGCATTCCGGTATAATCATAATACAGTTATGCAGAATACCACCAGATATACATTTTACATAAAGTCAGCAATACTGCCACATCAATGAGAGGCTGAGGAAAGGGGATTATTAAAAAAAAATTAAGGAACACTAAACTGTAAATAAGCAATTTATGTTATAAATGGTTTTTGTGCTGTGTTGGTGCTTGTGTTGTGATAAAATGATACAGGCATATATTTAATTACAACACAAGGTATTACAACGCACGACAATGCGTCACAAAGCTTTGCCATGCGCTGCCACAGTTAAATTAATGTTTTTTACGATAGAAACGACGCACTGCAGCGCATGTGCCTGGCGTACACAACAATATGGTGCACGTGTATGTTAAGCCCCGTTCACATTGAGCGATTTATCGCGTGGTAATTCCAGCGATATCGCGGCAAATTACCGCGTGATATTGCGCTCCAATGCATTTCAATGGGGCAAAGGGTCCTGCTGTCGCTACAGCAGGACCCTTTTTGGAGCGGATTTAGTCGCGATTCAAGCTTGCTCAATGCAAGCTTGAACGCGATATCGCGCGGCAAATCTCGCGATGTCGCGCAATATGCAAATCGGGCGACAAACGCGCGATTTGCATATCGCGCAGTGGGAACGGGGCCTTATGTGTGTTTTGGGGGAGGGGGGGTTTGTGCTTTTTTTTATTTACACTTTTTTTTTAATTATTATTTATTATTATTTTACTGTTGGGGGGCTTCGGGGAAATATTAGGGGTTTAGACCCCTGACATTCCCTTTTGAAATAGAAAAAGACATTGAGGACACAGAGTCCCCAATGTCTTTTTCTGCAGCCTCAGCACTCAGTGAATGGGAAGCACTCAGTACAGAGGCTTCCCATTCATTCACAAACTGCTGATAGTAAGATATCTACTATCAAGCAGATTTTCAATGGGGAAAAGCCTCTGTACTGAGTGCTTCTCCCCATTGAGAAATTCATGAATGAACAGGAGGTGATGTAAATCCCAGCCTGTTCATTCATAACTGGGGACTCATAGTGCTATGTGTCCCCAGTTATTTACAAACACTGGAGTGATCAGACGATCACTCCAGTGTTTGTGCTGTACACGGAGGATCGGTAAATATCGATGATACTTACCGATCCTCCGCTCGGCCACGCACACAGCCGCTGTCATCCTGAAACTGACA